ATATAAACAATAACAAAAATAGACAAATCAAAAAATACAATTGTGGGCATAAAATAACTAAGTTAAAAATATTTAATGTTTCAAATAAAAATAAACTGTAAAAATAAATTAGATAAAGTACAAATGAAAATATAAGATTTTTAAACTTTTGCAACCAGAAGCTCGTCATATTAGTGACAAACAATAACAGTAACAGCTTTTTGACAAGTTTAAAATGTCTTTAAAACACATTCAAAATGTTTAAAAATAAACTACAAAAATTAATTTAAAGTGCAAATTAAAACATAGTTGTATCTGCAACTTATTTGATAATGTTTTGAACTTTTAAAATATTACATGATAAAAACAGAAGCTGTTCTTCATATTATTGACAAACTTTGGTGTTTTTTGATGAGTTACTTTCATTTTTGCTTCTACATTTCATTTAAAATAAGTTTTCATTTTCAGCAGGTTTCTAAGTTTCTTCTTCTACATATTAAAAAGGTTATTAAACATATGAGTGGCGCACTACTGCTACTAGTGGTGAGAAAGTGTATTGCACCTTATTCAAAAATATGTGGTCCCACGGCCCAAAGTTAAAAACTGTTGTTCTTTTGAGGCCCTCAAGGTGGCGCTCGCGGCCCACAGGTTAAGAATCTCTGATATAGAGGATGGTTGTGTGACATCAGGGTATTTTTGTTCTGAGTTCCTGGGACATGCGAGAGCAGATGACCTGTTGCTGATAGCACTGCTCTTCCTACACATAATGACAACACTTGCCTTGAATTTAGGGTTAAATAATAAATAATTGTATATAGATCAGTGTTTCATTAAGGCAAAGAAATAACTATGTATCCAGTAACTTTAATAATGGGTTGAAGCAGTTGCCGCTACAGTTTCAACTTGAAGTCGTGTTGGTATTAAAAAACATTGGGATGGTATTAAAAAATGTATTAAAACGTATTAAATTTAACTTCAGAATTTCTGTATATACCCTGTATAATGCATATTAGCTACTTACTATAAACTCATCAGTGCATAAAACTTTATTAGTTTCACTTTTAATAATATTTCTGTGTTTATTTCAGATTTAGTCAGTCATACACTTACCGTATTCATTCAAGTATAATATGAAAAATTTAATCCATAAAATCATCCATAAAGTTGAGGGGTAGTACTACACTCGGATAGATATTTTTACTTTTGTATTTTAACTAAAATATCGGCTTCATTCACAAAATGCCTGAGTCCGGAAATGAAACTGCGTCGTAAAAGCAGTTGAAACGAGCTCACCTCTGACACTCCTCCGTGCTTCAGAGTGAGATAATAACAGATCCAGGCAGGTGACATGATGTGAGAAAAGGGGGAAAAGTAGTCCTTCACCTTAGTAATGATAACAAACTAATGACATTAGCGTGTGACCGAGCCGCTCCTGGAACAACAAACAAACACATGTTCGTCTGTAATGGCTGCCGTCTACCGGTGTTCTGAAAAAGTTTGTATCCCTGAAAAACGTTTCCCCACCAGAGGGGGCGCTCACGAGTAGGAAGTAATCTGCTTTTCCCCCACAAGATGGTCCAAATCTCATGTGAAGTCTCTGTGTTGGCGCCTCCTGGTGGACTATGTGTAAAATGCCAGAATTCATATGATGCTGCCACAGC